AAGTGCACTATGCCACTATTTTTTCATGTTGCTATACAAAGAGCAGCTCTGGTGGCATAGTGCCTAAGACATTTGACTGCTAACCAGAAGGTTGTCAGTTCAAACCCACCAGCAACTTCTCAGAAGGAAGATTGGACAATCTACTTCCATAGAGATATCGCCTCGAAACCCAAGAAGGGGTCACTATGAGTTGGACTCGACTCAACTTGCTGGCAGTGAGTTTGGTTTTTGGATTGGGTATAAAAATTAGCATAGCATGCTTATGAAAATACCTTGTGGAGAGGGCATAGTGGGCAAACAAGTGCAGAATGAATGTTATTTGCTTAAAAATATAATAGTGCTATGATGAACATTAGTGGGTTTCTGTCTGTGTTCTTGCTTTCACTTCTTTCGGGTTTATACCTAGTGTCTTAGTTATCTAGTGCTATCATACCATAAACGCCACAAATGGACAGCAAGCAAACATTTATTATCTCACAGTTTAGGAGCTGGAAGTCTGAATTCAGAGTACTGGCTCGAGGAGAAGACTTTCTTTCTCTGTGTCTCTTGGTCCTAGGAGGATTATAGTACAGAGGTTCTGGGTCCAAAGGACATGCTTTGCTCCCAGATCTTACCTGGTGGTAGTAGATTCCCCCAATATCTACTGCCTTCTCTCTCATCTCTTATAAGATAAAAGGTGTTATAGACCACACACCAAGGAAGCTTTCCTTACATTTTGATCACTGTTGTAATGGGACTGAGAGTGTTGCATCCCACCCTTAATCCTCTTACACCTAATTGGTATATCACATCAGATTCCATCTTGGGGTATCATTATATATCTGTCACATTACATCATTACATAACTGCTAAACCACTGAGAAGCACAGCCAAGTCAAGTTGACCCAAATTCTGTGAGGACAGAATTCAGTCCATGATACCTAGGATTGGGATTAGGAGTCTGCATTTAAGACAGAGACAGAATCTCTCATTCTTACATTATGGAACAGACCTTTAGCCAGTACCTGACACCAAGTGAATGTGCTCATCAAAGGTTTTCTGAATTGCCATATGGGTTGATGGAGGGAAGGGAAGGAAGAAGGGGAAAAGGAAAGACAATAATCATAAATGTTTTCTACAGTTATTTTCAAATGTTAGCATGCATAAGAATAGCATCTAAGAAATTTAAAAATTAGATTACCATGCCCAAACCCATAGATTCAAATTCATTAGATCTAAGATGGGTGCAACAATATGAATTCCTACAAACACCCCAGATGATCCTGAATCAAATAATCCATGGCCTCACAATCATTTCCAAACCTGGTGCCATATAGTACTCTGTGCTGCAACAAAAATATATATTGAAAAAATTGTTCTTTGATAAAATAAGTTAGGAAAACAACATGAATAAACAAAGTAATCATGTTGCTACACAGAATTTTTCAGAGATTTAAAATGTATTAAAATTCTACCAGATAAGAAAATAACCATACCGCATATCTTAAAATTACTGGATATTGAATCTTTTCTTAGTGTTTCACTCACCAACATCTGTAAGAACTTTTAAACTCTTAAACAAACAAAAAAAAAAAAACTAGAGACAAAGAATAAAATAAAAGGAATTGGACTAAACTAGAAAATTTTAAAGCTTTCTCATAATCCTAGGCTAAAATAGCAGAGAGGAAAATAAAAAAAATAAATAAGAGAATCCTTTAAGTTATTAAAGGGTCATCTTTTTTCTTACATAATACTCAGCTATGGTCACATAAATATCAAAATAACAGATAATTTCCCTTTTTATCATAACTTCAAAATTAAAGATGATAATAGTGGCCATAAGGAATTATTTAAACAAAAAAGAAACAAGAAAAGAATTTTTCATAAGACGATATTCTTTGTAGAAGATGACATAAGAAATAATAGCTTTCCTGTAAGATCTTAGGAATAGCCACTGATATCAAACAGAAAATATTTTAGAAATAAAAATTAGTAGACTTATTCAAAGAAGGAAAACTCTCTCTAGTGAATGTATAAACAAGATACCTAAAAAAATATTTTAAACTAATAGTGACTACAAATAAAACTATTTCAAGTTGATCTATTTAAAGCAGCCAAAATAAACTACTTCAGTTAACTAAGAGTTAACATTCCAGATTTGCCTGCTCAATGGGGCATAACACAAAACCAAATAAAATAATCTAAGTGATTTCTCTTAAATAAGATCCCTTAAGTTATTATAATGTAAGCGGTTACTAGAATCCAAAAAAAAAAAAAAAAAAATTAGAAAACTGTTACTTTAAGGAAAAACAAAAACAAAAACAAAAACAAATTATGACAACTAACCTGCTAAAATATCTTTATATCTCCTTTGGTAGGCAGATAGGTTTGTGAAAAGTGATTACCTGGGATCAATGCAGAAAGCAAAAAATATTTCCTCCTGAGAATTCATACCTACAAGCCAATGCTTATGGGTTCGGAACGAACAGTTATACTACTCATTTAACAGATGATGCATAAACCAAACTTATTTAAAATGTTCTCAGGTGGTAGTCCCCAGGCACCTGGTAATAGCAAATGAAAATGCTTTAGGAAGAAATTCTTTAAGCCCAAATTTTAAGAAATTTTTAATGAGAAAAATACTAGTATCCTGAAACAAAAACTGGAGAAAATTTACATATATACATTTACAAAAAAAAAGACATACTTCTAGCCAAAAAATATCAATATCAAATATCAGTATCAATAAATGTCCGAAGTTATCAGTTATTCAGGAAAATGCAAAATAAAATGACAAGGTACTATTTTACATATACCATACTGAAAAAATATTAAAACTTTAGATGAAACAAGTTTATGAAGCAAAAGAAATTCTTAAGCACCATTGCTGTTATGAGTATAAACTGATTTGGAAAACAATTGTCTTTATTGAGCAAAACTGAAGATGCAGATATCCTACAGCTCTGCAAAGCCATGCCTTGTTATATTATTCCCTTACTCTTGCTCCAAGAGACATTATTATGCTCCAAAAGACATTCACAAGAATGTTCAAAACAACAAAGTGGCACCGAGGAAGAGGAAAATACAGAGAGGTACACAAGAGGTACAGACAACAAAGAAAAACCTCCTTATATACTTACATACTGTGCTGTCAGTGATAACAAACACTAACCTACAGGTGAATACATGGGTAGACATGCTGAATGATCAGGATCGTCTAGGGGAAAGGGAATATACCCTTTGGCAGATTATATTTCGACATATGTATTTGTATGTCCTGTAAAAATGTCTAAATATGTAACACAGCTAACAAGGGGCAAAGTTATGATAACTTCTTGGCCACAGCCAACCACCCTGAGAAGTGAATAGTTGGATCTGTGGGCTCAGGACAATGGTCACAGGGGACATCAAGCTCAACTGGCATAACATACTACACAAAAACACTGTTCTACAATCTACTTTGGTTGGTGAGTGGCATCTGGGGTTTTAAAAGCCTTCAATCAGCCATCTAAATGCAACAATGGGTCTCTCCTCGTCAGAGCAAAGAAGAATGAAGAAAACCAAAGATGCATGATAATGATTAGTCCATGGGACTAACAAACCATGCGATCCTTAGCCTATATGACCTTGAGACCAGAATAACCAGATGGTGCCCGGCTATCACTGTCAACCACTTGGAAAAGGATCAATATAGGAGATTGTGGATAGAGTGGAAAAACAATGTGGAACAAAACTCAAAATCATTAAAAAGACCAGGTTTGCTGGTATAATAGAGCCAGGTGAGACCCCTGAGACTACGGCCCCATAGCCTCCCTTCAGGTCTGGAATTGAACTTACTCCTATGGCTTCCAGCCAAACAATAGACAGGCATACGGGGTGAACATTTATATCACATAAGTCCACTACTTGGAGCCATCAATCAAGGGAGAACAGAAGGGCAGTGTTTGTACAGGTTGATAACGTGAAGCAGGAATGCACAGGAGGGAAGGACACACGGAAGAGTTAACTACAGGGAGGAAGTAGGAAGAGAGCTGTTACACTGTGGGGAATTGCAGTCAATATTATGAGGCAAAATGTGTATGAACTGCTGTATGAAAAATGAATTTGCTCTGTAAACTTTCACCCAAATCACAATTAAAAAAAAAAAAATCTTGAAAACAAAATTCTTTATAATTTTAAAAAGATGGAAACAACCAAACTGTCCATCAACAAAACTAAAGAAAAACTAAATAATGATATATTCTGTCAATGGAAAACTACACATTAGTCAAAATGAATGAGCTACAGCTACATAGATCAGCATATATGAATCTCTTCATCATAATGTTGGTCAAAATAGCAAGTTAAAAGGAAAAAAAAGTTTTAATCAATTTACACCAAATTCATACCCTACAAAACTAAATAATATATCATTCACAAATAGATACATTTGCAATGTATTATAAAGAGAGAAACAAGAATGAGAAATATAAAGTTGAGTAAACAGTTTATCTCTGGGCAAGACAGTTGGGAATATGAATGCAATGGGGTTCTCAGAGGATTTAAAAGACTTGGGTAATGCTCTCTTTTTTAAGTTGGAAGGTATATACCTTGAGTGTTCATTATTACTATACTTTAAATTGGTCATAAAGACTATAAACTCTCAGATATGTAAGTATGTATGTATATTCCATAAAGTAAAATAATAAAATTTTTAAAAAATAACCAGTAGCAAAATATACATTTCTTTCTTTCATGTTGTCTCTTTCTCTTTATCACCATCTTAAATTTTGGCCTCAAACTATTATGATGATTCTGATAAACAAAGGAGCTCTGGTGGTGGAATGTTAAGCTCTACAGCTAAATTAAAAGTCAGTTGTTCGAATCCACCAGCTGTTCTGTGGAAGAAAGATGTGGCAGTCTACTTCCATGAAGATCACAGCCTTGGAAACATTATGGGCAGTTCTATTCTGTCCTATTGGGTTGCTATGAGTTGGAATCGACTCAACAGCAATGGGTATGATAAATAAGGAATACATTACCGTGTTTCTTATTGGAATCTTCTTGGGTTCTGGTGGCACATCCTGTGGAACAAATTTCACTGGTTCCTTAATTTGTCTCCTTGATCGTTTGGTCCCATCTGGTAAGGTTTCCATGGCCATGTCTGCTTCCATGTCACTGCTCCCTGCCTGATCACATTCTGAGCATTGCCTACATAAAGGGGGAAAAAACAAGAAGAATGTTAAATTCATATACTTATTTTTACCTTCGAGCTTCAGCTAGGTGCTCTGGTGGCATAGTGACACGTGACTGCTAACGAGAAGGCTGGTGGCTCAAACCCACTCCTCGGAAGGAAGACTGGGCAATCAACTTCCATAGAGATACCGCCTTGGAAACCCAAGGAGGGTTGCTGAGTTGGAACTGACTCGACGGCAGTGAGTTTTTTTTTTTTTTTTTGGTTTAGCTTCAGCTAAAGTTTCTACAAACACAAAATCCAGGTATATGTGAAGAATATAAAAATACACACAAGTAGATATGACCACAGGATACATAGTGATTGAATACAGGAATGCACACACATTTTTCTAAGAATGATGACCAGTAATACAATATGTAAAGCAATTTAATGTATTACTTCATGTATCATAAGAACATGTTGTATTACTTTATGTATCATAAGAACACAAGCAACATGTATATTTAAGTGAACAATAGATAAAAGCAATTCAATACTGATAATAAAGATAGTTTTCCTTTGGAAATCATGACTTTTCCTTAAGTGACATACAGTATGATCCTGAAAATCAAAATCATTCATAGACGTGACTCTATTCCTTGCTACAGTTTTCATTTCTTTTAATCTTAGTTAATAATGGGCTGTGATCAACATCTTACCAAAAGAAGCCTACAGAAATGGACTCTAAAAGGACTGGAAAATAAAGGGGTCATTTTAATTGATGGCCCACTGTCGTCGTTGTCATTTGCAACTGAGCTGATCCCAATTCATGGTGATCCCATGAGTAGAACTGAACTCCATAGGGTTTTTGGTGACATACAGCATAACCCTAAAAATCAAAATCATTCATACACTCGACTCTACTCCTTGCTACAGCTTTCATTAGTTTTACTCTTAGTTAATAACAGGTTGTAATCAACGTCCTACCTAAGGAAACATATAACAACCATATAATCTACTACACTGGGAATGAAAAATTGAAGAGGAGTGGCTAGCATTCATCATTACAAAGAATGTTTCAAGATTTGTCCTGAAGTACAATGCTGTCAGTGATAGGATAATATCCACACGCCTACAAGGGAAACCAGTTAATACAACTACTATTCAAATTTACACATCAACCACCAAAGCCAAAGATGAGGAAATTGACAATTTCTTACCAACTTCTGCAGTCTGAAGTTGATCAAACATACAATCAGGATGTGATTATTGCTGGTGATTGGAATGAAAAAGTTGGAAACCAAGAAGAATCACCAGTAGTTGGAAAATTTGGCCTGGGTGATAAAAATGATGCTGTAGATCACATGATGGAATTCTACAAGACCAATGACTTATTCATTGCAAATGCCTTTCTCAACAACACAAATGGAGACTACACACGTGGACTTCATCAGATAGAGTACACAGGAATCAGATCAACTACATCTGTGGCAAGAGGCGATGGAAAAGCTCAATGTCTTTAGCCAAAATAAGGCCAGGAGCTGATTATGGAACAGACCATCAACTACTCATACGCAAGTTCAACTTGAAGTTGAAGACAATTAAAACAAGTCCACAAGAGCCAAAATATGACCTTGAATCTACCCCTCCTGAATCTGGAGACTGTCAAAAGTATAGATTCTATGCATTGAAAACTAACAACTGAAAACCAGAAGAATTATGGGATGACATAAAGAATATCATCCATGAAGAAAGCAAAAGGTAATTAAAAACACAGGAAAGGAAGAAAAGACCAAAATGGATGTCAGAAGAGACTATGAAACTTGTCCTTGAGTGGAGAGTAGCAAAAGCAAATGGAAAAAATGACAAGATAAAACAGCTGAAGAAAAGATTTCAAAGAGTAGCTCAAGAAGACAAAGTCAATTATTACAATGAAATATGCAAAGACCTCGAGTTAGAAAACCAAAAGGGAAAAACAGGCTTGGCAATTCTTAAGCTGAAAGAACTAAAGAAAAACGTCAAGCCTTGAGTTGCAAAATTGAAAGAGTCTATGGGTAAAATATTGAATGATGCGGGAAACACCAAAGGACAGAAGGAATATACAGAGTCACTGCACCAAAAAGAATTGTTTGATGTTCATCTATTTCAGGAGGTGGATTTCAGGGACCTAAGAATAGGCTCTGTTTGCCAAAGTCGGCAGGGACATACCAGAGGCTGAAACAGGAAAGGAGATAGGTGGTGAATATATAAGTGCTGTCAACTAGCGAACAGAGGTGAACAGTACACTGCTTGCGTCAATAACATATAAACAAAACAAATGAAAATCGTGGGCAAGTCATTCCCACATATAACCACCAATGAAATATAAACACAAAAACGTCACAATGCCTCAGAGACAACAGAGCATCACAGTCCACACAAAGAAGCAAGATAAAGCAGGAAAAACAGGGGACCAAGATACAGACTCAAAATACATCCCTGAGGAAGATGCAGCATTAGAACTCCCTGATAAGGAATTCAAAAGAACTGTACTTATGCATCTTCAACAGATTGAGAGACAGATGAAGGAAAACACAGAGAAAACTCTAGAACAATTTCAAAGGACAATACAAGAAGAAAATGACAAAATAAATGAAAAATTAGAAATGATACAAAATCTACATACAGAAATCCAGAAGATTAATACTAAATTTTCAAAAATAGACAAGACATTCAAAGGGCAAAGGAACAGAATTGAATCAATGGAAGTCAGAATTACGGAGACTGAAGGCAAATACCTGAACCCTTTTTCAGAAAGGGATCAATCAGAAAAAAGATCAAAACAAAATGAAGAAAGCCTAAGGTTCATGTGGGATATCACCAAAAGGAATAACCTACGTGTAACTGGAATTCCAGAATAGGAAGAGACAAATAAAAGTACAGAGAGAATTGTCGAATATTTGTTGGAAAAGAATTTTCCTGATATGATGAAAGATGAGAATATATCCATTCAAGAAGTCCAACGAAGCCCAAACAGGATAGACCCCAAAAGAAAATCACCAAGATATATCATCATCAAACTCACCAAAACCAAAGACAAAGAAAAAATCCTGAAAGCAGCAAGGGAAAAACAAAAAGTTACCTACAAGGGGCAACCAATAAGACTAAGCTCGGATTTCTCAACAGAAACCATGCCGGCAAGAAGACAATGGGATGGGATATATAAAACCCTGAAAGGGAAAAATTTCCAACCAAGAATTATGTATTCAGCAAAACTGTCCTTCAAATACAATAGTGAAATTAGATTTCCAGATAAGCAGAAACTAAGGGAATTTGTTAAAACCAGACCAACCTTACAAGAGATGCTAAAGGGAGCCCTTTGGACAGAGAAGCAACAAACGCCAACAACAACTGATCATTAACACATATGGTGATATAACCTAGAAACCAAACTACCTGTGGAAGTATCCAAAGCAAGTAAGCCTACAAGATCATAAACAGGGAACCAGAGACATCAATTGACAAATGAGGACAACTACAAACCAAAAAGACGGAAAAAACTGTGTCGTTAAAAAACTTCTAGATGGTAGGGAAGTCAAGACAACTAGTAAGATAGAAGAGACTATTCTAAACTTGGGAAGAAAAAATTACAGGATAACCTCAAAGAAAAATGATAAATCTTCACATCAAAAAAGAGGACCTGCATAAATATTCAGCAAATACTAAAACAATAGCAATAAAGGAAGTGATAACATGATTCATAGACAAAACAAGCTCAACACAGAAAATTGTATGGAACAAAGAAATCGACATCACGAAAAAGCACATAACAAAAATGACAGCAACAAATTCTTATTTGCCAATAATTACATATCCAGAAAGGGACTTATATGGAATGCTATGCAGCACTAAAGAATAATGTAGAGTCTGCAAAATACCGCATAATATGGATGAAACTGGAGGACATTATGCTGAGTGACATAAGTCAATCACAGGACAAATATAGTATTAGTTTGTTGTTATGGAGGGTAAAGGAAAGGTTTACATATGGAGGGAAACTTTCTTTGTTGGTTGCCAAGGGTGGGAGGGGAAGGGAAGGAACACTGCCAAAAAAAAAAGCATTGACCCATGTCACTTTAATTTCATGTATTTCACTGTACATAAATTATATTTCAATAAAATTTAAAAATAAAGCTGTTAAAAAGAATAAGGGAAAAACTGCTTTCCACATTCAAGGCAAACTTGATTAAAAATAAAAAATGAAAGGAAAAAATAATTCTTTTATAATAAAAAATTTTTTCTTGAGTAACAGACAAAAATAATTTTCTAAAACTTGCTCACTCCAAAATTAATACACCGAATAGTTATCCAAAATTAAAGTGATTTTAAAGACCAAAAAAAGAAAAAAAGACTAATCCCACTGCCATCAAGTTGATTCTGACTCATAACGACCCCCTATTGGGTTTCCGAGGTGGTAGATCTTAACGGAAGTACATTGCCCCATCTTCCTTCTATGGAGCAACTGGTGGGTTTGAACCACCAGCCTTCTGGTTAGCAGTCAAATCCCTTAGGCACTGTGCCACCAGAGCTCCCCAAGAGGCCAAAAGAAATCTAATTACTAGAAACCTTAAGAAATTAAAGGATTCACTACTCTGCAATATTAGCTTCTACTTTTACTTAAAACATTATAATCAATGAATAGGACCAAAGTGGTTTAGTCCATTTCAGAATGCTTTCACCCTAAAGACTATCCACTTTCATTGGAAGTTCTTCCAGAAACTTTCATAAAACTAGAAACCTGATCTCTGCAAGTAGAAATATTAGAAAAATCCATAACTTCATTTGAGGAGAAAATTGCACATCTCTATGCCCAGAATCATGATAAAATATCCTGGCCTTAATAACTGCCAAGGAGCTGTGGCAGCACAGTGACTAAGGCATCTGACTGCTAACCAGAAGGTTGGTGGTTCAAACTCACCACCCACTCTGCGGAAGTAAGACCGGGCAATCTACTTCCATAAAGATTTATTGCCTCCAAAACCCAATGGGGGTCGCTATGAGTTGGAATTGACTTGATGGCAGAGGGTTGGTTTGGGCTTTATTAGAGATTGTCAAGCTAGCTTTTGATTTAGAAACCCATGTAGAATACTTAGTAACACTGTGGGCATTCCAATATGCTATAGCAGTTTCTTCTTAAATTCTGCAAGTGTCAAATACACATAGGTATTAAAAGAAATACCCTTTACTATGTTTGAAAAGAACAGACCAGTAAGAACATCTCAAAACAAATGAACATAAAAATACTACTAAAATGCAATCCTGTGAATATGGTGAAAGGATTTAATCTTCCTAAGAAACTGAGCAAAGGTAACTTTAGTAGGTAAAACAATGTGCTTAATGGTCTGAGGAACACACATGACCTTCTCTATAGTTACCATTTAAGAATTTGGGATTCACTCTTTTCTAAAACTTAGAAAGGTAAATTATCTGAAAAGAATCTCGTGTCCATTCCAAAGCTTTCAATTTCCTAAATGCGCTTTCCTATAAGGATTGAGTATAAAATTTGAACATCTGTCTCTCCCTTGGACTAAAATTAAGAAAAGGGTAAAACTCATTATAGATATCATAAGCATTATTAAACATCTGTAGTGATTCAATATGCCTAAGTTAATGAAAAATACAATTCAGAAACATATGTCAAATGTTCCTAGATTTTCAAAGAATCAATGATCTTAAATATAACTAACACAAACAACAAATACCAGAAGTAAACCCTTAGCTGTCACTAATAGAGAAATAAAATATTAAATTACAAGTAAAAGCATGAATATCTTTGATGATTTTATTTAATTTCAAAATAAAAATAAAGCATTTAGGAAATTCTTAGAATAAAGCAAAAGAGAATTATAAACACATTGGATAGAATTCATGACTAAAGTAAGAATCCATTCCTAAGATACCACACTAGACTCAATTAACTGGAAATTCATTTCTCAGGAACACTGTAACAGTTTTATTCATATTGTACTATGTTAAATATTTATGGAAATATCTGTTTTTAAAATGTGCTAAATGCTTTATTGTGAATCAATATGATATAAAGTTTTATCTTACACTTTTGAAACTAAAAGCAAAGAAGTTTTAACATCCAAATTCCTTCCATTTTACTTACCAATAGCTGTTTTTGGTCTTTCTTGGCATCCGTGTTAAAGGGGGGTCCAGACATCCAAGATGGTAATGGAGTTTGCAGGTATCACATAACAAAAGAAGATGCTGATCATGGTTCTTCTTACAAATTCCACAACTTTGAATGAAAGTGGCAAATAAAAGATCAGAATAATAATCATAGGAAAACAAAGTTTATGGAATATATTTTAATTTTTAAAATTTCACCACTGAATCAATCTTCCGTTCAAACACTTAATATTTATTCTGTTAAAAATCAAATTTTTTCTTAACACATATTTTTTTAAAATGTCATTAACTGATTATTCTACACTTTTTTGAGTGTAAGAAGTTTTACTTGCCATATTGCCATATGTACTTTATTCCACTGCTTCTAGATACCATATAATATTTAAAAGGAGACATTCAATACATTTAATATTTCCATTGCTCCAGGGATAGCCACCTAGATTGTCCAGAATTCCATGTTACCAAATTTTCTAGCTTCAAATTTTCTTTTGTCACTTTTTAAAAATTTCTTTAAGAACATTATTTTATGGCTTTCTGGTATCTAGTGTTGTTTTGAAAAGTTTTGTATTAATTTTATTTTGTTCCATTGTAAGTGAGCTGCTATCTCATCCTGGGAACTTTTCAAATTTTTTTTTTTCCTTTGGTCTTCATGATTTCAACTTTTTCTATAATGTGTACAGATGTTTTTTCCTGGAAAAAAAAATATTGTTATTTCTTCAACTATATTATCTCCATTTGATTTTTCTACTTAATGGTATTGTTTTTAGCAATTTATTTGCATTCCCCATCTCTTAGTTTAATTTCACATTTTCTCTTTTTATCCTTTTCTGTGGTTCTCTGAAAAAATTCCTCAATCTGACAGCCTGGTTTTTAATTAATTCTTCAGTTGTAACCATGTATTATTAACTGTCTGTATCTACTTAAACTATCTACTGTTATATTTATTCCAATAATTATGTATTTTCCATAACTATTATTTAATCTTTTTTTAATGATTTCTGATTTTAATATTGTTAATGCATTCCATTCTCTTTTCGAGGTTCATTGTAATGTATATTTTAAATTATTGTGTTGTACATTCCAATATGTTTAATTAAGGTGGCATATGTGTTCACTGTGCTAACTTTCATTTACGGTCATTATGAACCTCAGACATGTAATTATTTAGACTGGGAGTTCATGCTGTCCTGGAGATGTTGGCTATCTTCCTTGTGATTCATATGAAGGGAGAGCTGCAGGAACAGCCCTAGTTTATATCTTCTGTGTCAGTTTAAGGAGTTCTGGTGATTGAGTGGTGAAGTCATGAGCTGCTAATCAAAGGGTTGGCAGATCAAACCCACCAGCCACTCTGTGGGAGAAACATGAGGCAGTCTGCTTCTGTATGGATTTACAGCCTTCAAAACCCTACTGGGGAAGTTATATTCTATCCTTAGAATTGCTATGAATCAGAATCAACTCAATGAAAGTAGATTTGATCTTTGGTTTGGGTCTTTTTTTTTTTTTGGCCGTAAACTCTCAATGCTATACTTTTTTTTGTTTTTTAAATTGTGATTTGGGTGAAAGTTTACAGAGCAAACTCACTTTCCATACAGCAGCTCACATACAAGTTGTCTCATGACATTGACTGTAATTTCCCACAATACAACAGCTCTCCTCCCACTTCCTTCTCATAGTTACCTCTTCCTTATGTCCTTCCCTCCATGCACTCCTGCCCCGAGCTATCTCCCTGTGCATATGTTGTTGTTGTTGTTGTTGTTCTGTGCCATCGAGTCAGCCCCGACTCATAGCGACCCCTCCTTCGGTTTCCGAGGCAGTATCACTACGGAAGTAGGATGCCCTGTCTTCCTTCCAAGGAGTGGCTGGTGGGTTTGAACCGCCAGCCTTCTGGTTAGCAGTCAAGTGCTTTAGCCACTATGCTACCAGAGCTCCTCCCCTTAATACAGGTTCTTCAGATTTTCTTTTTTTTAATTGTGATTTGGGTGAAGATTTACAGAGCAAATTCACTTTCCATACAGCAGTTCACATATACTTTGTCGCATGTCATTGACCACAGTTTACCACAATGCAACAGCTCCCCTCCCACTTCCTCCCCATAGTTACCTCTTCCCAGTGTCCATCCCTCCATACACTCCTGCCCCCTGAGCTGTCTCCCTGTGCATAAGCAGCCCTTCTTTCTCCCATGATTGTTCTCTCCAGGGCGTGTGTCTACTTGAGGTAAATATATAGCCCTTCTATTCTCCCATGATTGTTTCTTCCAAGGAGTCTATCTACCTAATGTGGATGAACTTGAAGGACATTATGCTGAGTGAAACAAGTCAATCACAGAAGGACAAATATTCTATTAGTCCATTATCATAAAAAGTCAAGGAAAGGTTTATATATGGAAGCAAATTTCCTTTGTTGGTTACCAGGAGTGGGGAGGGGAAAACACTGTTAGATAGGTAAAAACAAGTATTGATTTGGGAGAAGAGAAGGGCAATGCACCAAATGTGAGTGATCATCACGGTGGCACTGAGGAAGAGGAAAACATAGAAAAGTGCATGGGAGGTACAGACAACAAAGATGAACCCTTTTGCACATACAGTACTGTGTAGTCAGTGAAGGCAAACATGGATATAAGGGTAGATAGATGGGTGAACAGGTTGAACTATTAGGTATGTCTATGAAGAGGAGAGTGTGCCCAAGAACATGTATTGGCAGACAATGTTTCTAGAAGAGTATTTGTATTTTCTGTAAGAATTCCCAGGTATACAGTAGGCCTGATAAGGGACAAGGTTGTAGTCACTTCTTGGGCATAACCACCTACCCAGAGGAAGCAAGTAGTTGGGCCTGTGGGCTCAGGACCATAGTTGCAGGGGACATCAAGATCAATTGGCATTAGTGAACTCCTGTATGGAAAGTGAATTTGTTCTGTAAATCTTCACCCAAATCACACACACACACACACACACACACACACACACAAGCTCAACTGGCAATAAATACTACACAAAAACATTGTTCCACATCCTACTTGGGTGAGTAGCGACTAGGATCTTAAAAGCTTGCAAGCAGCCATCTAGATGCAACGATGAGTCTCTCCTCATCCAGAGCAAAAAAGAATGAAGAAAGCCAAAGACGCATGGAAACAGTTAGTCCAAGCGACTGGTACACCACGCGATCATCAGCCTATATGACTATGAGATCTGAAGAACTAGATGGTGCACAGCTACCATTGTCAACCACTCAGAGGGGGATCTATACAGGAGATCCTCAACGAGTGGGAGAACAATGTGGAACAAAACTCAAAATCATTTTTAAAAAGGGGGAGGCAGGTTTGCTGGTCTGATAGAGCCTGAGGGAACCACTGAGACTATAGCCTCTAGCTGACCTTTAGGTCTGGAATTGAACCCACTCCTGTGGCTTCCAGCCAAACAAAAGACAGGCATATGAGCTGATTATTCTACACACTTTTGAGAATTTCTTGTATAAATTTAAATATTAATAGAGTCAAACCTTTCAAGGAAGGTCTAGGTGAGATGTTTATTCCCAACATCCTGTTTGTTTTCATTTAAATTACCACTTAATGGCCACTTAAAATTAGCTCAATTTTTCTCTAAAAAGGTACATTATTAAACAAAACAATTAGCCAATTTTCTAAAAGTACAAGTTATTTTTATTGAAGAAACCAGCGCGTTTATTTTCTGACATTAATTATAAACATTTTAAAAATCTTTCAATACAGAAATAAACTGCATATATAAGTCTTTAAAATCACCAGACTTAAAATACCAATTGATAACTACTGCAAAGATCACAAAGTTTTGTTACTGTTGTTATTGTTATTTTGGATTTTTTTGGTCTGTTTTGAAGAAATCAAGCTGTTCCTGTACAAAAATGCAACTCAGCTAACTCCTGAGGACACAAGCACCATGATCTGAAAATCTAGGGTCTATTTTGCTAGGAATGCACAGATGGAAGGAAAAGTAGTTAAGAACCTAAAAAAGCCATCCAAGTACACAGACAATGATGTTTGGATTTTTAAAAAACTTTAGAAAAGAAGAGCACAGAAAATAGCAATCTGTACCTAGTCTTAAAGTTGCTCAGAGTTAAAAAAAGAAAACCACTTAACATATATTCTGAAACAAAAATGAGTAGCAGCCATAAAAGTCAACAGCGTAAAGATATGCCTGATGGTGGCAAAAGCTGGAATAAGGATGTGCTAGTCTTCTCACTCACTGTACATTAAGATAACAGTGGGCCTTTCCTACATTTCAATGGTATTATTTGTGTTACCTATGGAGGGAGCCTCCAACAAAAAACAGATGTACAGAGATGAGTACTATTGTTATTGCTGCTGTTTCTGAGAAAGGAAGAAGTTGTGGGTTGAATATTAATGAAATACAGGCCTGTGTGTGTGTGTGTGTATGCATGAATATATGCATATATGCATACACACACACCACTGTTTTCTAAACTTCTCTCATTTAGTCAATATAATGTTACATGAAAAAAAGGGAGGTTCTAACCTATCTGGATATGGAAAGAAGTCTGACAATATAAAATTAGTATAATGGTGAACACTGTAAGAATATTGAGCCAAAAAGTAAAGAATGAAAGTACTTCTGGAAACAGAATTAGTACAACTGAGTACAGGTGGGAAAAAAAAAATGTAAAAACAGACAAATTAAACCTTATCTTCTTTGCCCACTACTGTACAAAAAGGCACTAGATTTAGACTGTATTACACACAATATCCATCACTACCTAAAAACACAGATAAAACTCTGAACTGAGTCAAGTAAAAATAAAATATAAATGTGTATTTGCCTATTATATCAAAAAACAAAAATGAAAAATTAAAACAACAACAACACTGCCGTTGAGTCCATTCCAACTCATAGTGACCCTGAAGGACAGAGTAGAACTGCCCCAAAGAGTTTCCAAGGCTGTAAATCTTACAGAAGCTGACTGTCTCATCTTTCTCCCAGGAAGTGGTGTTTGGTTTCCAGTGGCCAACCTTTTGGTAAGCAGACCAATACTTTAACCACCAGAGTGCCTTTGCCTATTATAAAGTTACATTATTTATGAGAATAATCATCTATATTATTTAAAGTGACTCTCCAATTCCCCAAAAGGGACTGTTCATTTCCATGGAGCTCATGCAGACATGTTCTATTACTTAAAGAATACAAAAAGTCATTTATCTTATTAAAAGAGATACAAAAAGGACTTCTATCATTCAATCAGGAGCTCTGGTGGCATAGTGCCTAAGGCATTTGACTGCTAACCAGAAGGCTGGCAGTTCAAACCCACCAGCCACTCCTCAGAAGGAAAACTGGGCAATATATTTCCACAGAGATACTGCCTTGGAAACCCAAGGAGGGATCACTGAGTCGGAACCAACTCAATGGCAATGAGTTTGAGTTATCATTTAATATGGAAAACATCTTTAATAAAAGTATTAATATAGTCAACTTCAAATGTATTTAACTTAAATTCTAGTATAGATATAATTGATTCTGAAATATTAAAGTATCTTCTTATTTTCAACTATTAGTTAAAAATACACATTATCATTATTCATAATATTATTATTCATTACTTGCCTGTAAAGTACTGCTGGAAGAGTAGATGTCTTTTGTGTGCCTCCCTCTTTTTTACTCGGCTTTCTTTCTTTTGGTGCTCGCAAAATTGCCGGTATGTTCAACTTCTATTGATTTGAACAAACGCAGTTCATATTGTTTTAAGGAAGAAATGTAAAATAACATTTTCCCCTATTTGCCATTTAAGCCAACTAAATATGCTAGGATTCTGAGGGAAACATCTATTTTACCAGCTATTACACTAGCAAAAATTATTTTAATGAATTTTTTAATCTCGTAATTACTTCTATTAGAAACTTTTAATTCCATACTTTCGCCAATTTTCAATGGAACATTAAAACATTATGAAAATGAAAGTTCTACTTTAGCTTTAAAAAGTCAAAGACAGGGACAAGCACTTCGGTGGTTTAAGAAAAAAAAAAAAAGAAGAATAGCACAGTACACTTAACAAAAGAATATTGAGGCCGTTTATTTTCCTAAACATCCCAGCTATGTTGGTGCTCCCTGGGTTAATTAGAAAAATTATCTTATTGGACTAAGCTTTCCACAAAGCACACAGATTCTCTTTGGGCTTCTACTAATCTGTAGTATGCTAGCTTCTCAGACAGTGACCATCTATCAAAGTCATTTCTCAGTAGCCCTGTCGGCCAGCATCTGTTCAATGAACTAGAAAAAAATGTCATGAGAGCAGTACCAATGAATTCTATCTCTGCTGTGTATTTTACATTTGCACAAGGAAATCATGAACCTCTGTTAAAAGTTATTAAATGAACGAAAATGCTCTTTTATTGCAGCTAATGTTTTATACTAAATAGGAGATATGAGAAACACTTGCAACCAAGCCAAAAAATAATGTTGGCTTGGTAAATAAACTAATAGGCTTGAACTCAACATTAAGTATTCTAAACATAAAATATAAAATACTATATTGTTCCAAAATTCCAACAACCCCCTGGCAAAAGGAGCAAAGGTCAATTCTTCCATAGCTGACTATTCATTCTTACCTTTTAAAATTCACTATAATTTAAGGCATATACACCCTTGTTCACAAAAGAAGTATCTTCAAAGCTAGCATGGCACAATACAAATCAGTATGTATTACTTCCTAAAATTATATATACACATGAGTTATATGATTAATTCCATTCTGTAAACCTCTGAAACAAGCACAAAGAAAAATATCTGTACTTTTAAAAGCTTCCCTTATAAATTAAACCAGTTTGTAGTGAAAGGACTACAAACAGTGGATCTCCATCATTCTTAAACATGTAACTAACATTATTTGAGTATATTCTCAACTTATCAATTATAAACATAGTATGCTAAAAAAAGAGCATTGAAAGAAATCCATTTTGCAATAATTGTTTTCAATCAAAAATTTTAACATGGTAAAAATGTTTAAGGATAAAATGATTTTTTCATACCTACAATAAATAGCTACTGCTGAAGGAGAAAAACTACACTTGAACACTAAGATTTCAAAAACTTTCTCTTCCACAGTTTAATACAAAATCAACATGAAAATGAATCTCTCCAGTTTGGCTTTTTAAATTTTAAATTTCACATCCAAATAAAAAAGAACTAAGTATAGCACAAGAACAGGACAGAAAAAAGTGTGGCAAGGTATCTAAAACTGCTATATTAAAGAAGAATGCAGTAAGAGTAACTCATGCTTCATACATTAACTTCATCACACATGACAGGTCAATCAGTCAGAGCAAATGAAAAATTTTGCAAACAAGATAGCTGTTAAAATAACCAAATTAAGCTACAGGTCCTCAGTAGGCTGCTTACAATGCTCTAGATATATTTCAGGCAGAGATCATTATTCCCAGAGGATTAGTTGGCCCCAATCAAACAGAATTCTTTAGTTAGCAAAGCAATAGTTTTATCAGGAATGTGGTCTTTGAAAATTATATGGAGAGCAAGAATAGAAGGAGATAGCTATTGGAAAGAAACTAACCTGCCCTGTGATTCTGCCTAGCAAGGCCCATATTCCTTGCCCTTCACTTCGAAGTTTTCCATTCAGATTCTGTAGTTCTTCTAAAGACTCACATAGCTAAAAAGTAAGTAAGTCACATTAGTTAACTTCATTAAAATGTGTGGTAAACTATGTGAAAATTTAAATAATTTATCAATAATTGTTCAAAAGTTTCTATATTTATATTCTATATATCTATAATACATTCAACTCACAACAGTACTGAGAAGACTATACAATTATTTAGCAGCACCAATAAAATGTAAGCTGTTGCCTGTTTCATGTTAGTATTTTTACTAATTATTAACGATAATGATACATTTATATATCCCTTTATCATCTGCTATATAATTTTATATACATTCTGTTAATTAACTTTTTTGACCCTTGAAGCTACACTTCCATAATTCTCATAACGAGAAAACTAGAGTTTTTATGAATGGACCAAGATCACAGAACTAGGAAGTACTGAATCTAGTTCCAGGACTCTTCTCACTAAAACGTAGCTGATTATAGAAACATCCAAAACAAAAAAAAACAAACTCTCTGCCGTTGAGTCGAATCCAACTCATAGTAACCCCTCCGTGGGTTTCCGAGACAGTATCTATGGAAGTGGATTGTCCAACCTTCCTTCCAATATAGAAACCTATTTCCTACTAATTTTTTTTTATCACTTAAAATGTTTTCTAATAATAAGTCAACATCAGTGTTACATGCTCACATCATTTATTACTGATATTTTAGCCACATCTTTCTTTTATATATTCTTATCTCAACCCTCATTATTAGAATAAAGCAATACAATGCAAATTTAAATTGAGAATTATTATTTTTCCTTTTTTTAATCAAAAGTAACATTACTATTCAAGATTAAAACAATAGTTTAAAAATAAATTTTCAAGTTTCTTACAAATATAGAAGGATAAGTTCTATCATACTACATATTGATTAGAAATAAAGACTACCATTAAGACTACTTGGCTTAAAACTCAAGGTCTATGACTTGGCCACCTATGTGAGTCTTGGCAAATTATTTAATCTTTTTAGGGCTCAGGTTCCTTCTCTAAAAATGAGGGACTCTTAACTTATGTTGTAAAGTTGAAGTGAAATTTAACTGAGGAGGTATACTTAAAATGCGCAGAGTTCTATCTGGCATATAGAAAATGCTCAGTGGTAGTGAAAGCAATGAAGATAATGGAGGATAATTGTTGTAGGGAAGGGTCTAAAACCTCTAAAAGAATTTCAAAATGAAACACAGAAATTTCATGAAATCACAAAAGAAATAACCAATAGCATCTGTTATATCATATTGTTTTGTTTTATACTTAACTCACCTTGTTATATTCCACGTGAAGTTTTTCTTGTTCATTCTCTAATTTATCCTTTATATTCTTTTGTTCAGCCATATTTTCCTGAATTTGAATCATGCGCATGTTTCGCTCTATTTAAATTAAATACCCAATTTTATTTTACTACAAAATAAAAGCTAATACACAAATTACATAAAGGAAGAAGCTAGCCACAGAGATTACTATATATAAAAACCTACACTGTTTCAAACACTTACGTCTATTTACAAATACATGAACTTAGCGTTGATAATAGCCCACAACTTATTAGGAAAATAAATATACTTTTACTTGATAAATATGGCACAGCTAATAAATTTCTAAAAATTAGCAGCTATCAAATACTTTCATTAAATAATTATTCTAAATGAAAATGTATATTTATGAGTATTTATACTGACCAAAATAATAATTCACAAAATCAGCAGTGAGAGCTGGTTGCTTATGCTTTCTCCTTCCATCCACACTAGAACTAGTATCTGAATTGTCCACTGGGAAGATATCTGTACTGATACCCATTAGCTCTGCTTTCCGCATCAGCTTACGAATGGCTGAAGCACTACTAGTGAGTGGTCTGGGCAGTTTTTCCCTTGGAACCCAGGCCTGTGGCCTAGTAGATCGAGCTAGCTCTGCTTTGGCACGATATTGTTGAAGCCGGGCATTAATCCTCGCCTACAAAAAGAAACGTATACAAATTTTTAAGACATTAGTAGAGCACACATCTTCTCATAATTTTTACTTCCAATCTCAGAGACAGTAAAGATAGCCAAAATTTTGTATAATTAAGGCAAATTATATCTATCCACATTCCTTAAGGTATATTGTATAATTCCTGAGTTATAAGAAACTAAGTAACAATTGTCCTAATCTATGATTACAATTCTGAGAAACTAATTTGATTAACTTCAAGTTTTCCGTACTGCACGAGTTTCCATAAATTTACATATGTTACACAAAATATTTTAAATAACAGTCAGAATGATTAAATCCATTGCATTAACGAACATTAGACAAGATTGGAAAAAAAGGTGAGGTCAACCTACTGCACTCATAGAATAATTCCTCTAAGTGATATTTTTTTAATGTATTTGAAAATATACTTTATAAATGTCTACTATATTACCTAGATGAAGAGTATTATATTCAGCCACAAACTATACTCTTCATCTACCTTAAGGACAGTTTATTTTCTGGGTAACTAACTTAATTACACTTTGCATGTCATTGACAAAACACTAGGATTCTGAAATGCATAATCTGAAGAGAAAAAAACAAATGTTTGTATATGAGTCCCATACCTGTGCTTCTGGTGATAGTTGTTTCTCTCTCTCTTGCAAAGACATTTTACAATAGGATTGCAGAGCCAAGTAATTTTTCCTCTTCCATTTTCTGTCTAACCTATCTGCATGTTGCTTACAATAAGCAAAAAATGGATCTGCTATATCCTGTAGCAAAAAAAAGGGGGGCGGGGAGTAAGTGAACATTTCTGTTCTAAAGGGTCATAATAAACCTAACAAAAAATAATAACATTTCTTTTTGAGGAATTTCCTGCAAGGTTATTTATTTCTATAATAAATTTTAAAGATAACTTTTATGCATGAAGACTGATGGCTGTTTTAGAAATTTAACCTGTTATACCTAACTCAAATTAGAAACATCCAAATAAAAATAATTTATTTTTTTCTTTAGAAGGCTTTCTGGATTTAAGATAATAAAATAAATTCTTTTGCATTATTTACATGTAATTGTGTATTATCATACTCTATGAAAACAAGTAATTGATGAAGATGTAGGAGTCCCTGGGTAGTACAAATGGTTAAGCCCTCAACTACTTGCCTTAAGGCTGCCCATTCAAACCCACCCAGAAGTGTCTTGAAAGAAAAGCATGGCAATCTGCCACCGTAAGTTCATAGCCTTGAAAACCTAAGGCTTTTTAGCACTTCTACTCTACACAGATGGGGTTGCCCGAGTTGGAAAATATACACGGCAAACATAAATATAGTAAAAAAGTAATCTGCAATGTAATTACCAACCAAATGACAGATAGTCCATTCTTTAGGTATGTCCTAAAGAGGAAAAATAAAGTATCCATACTGTTCTTATATGAGATATGTTAAAAGGATTTCTTAGGTGGGATTCTGAAACCCAAAGAGAAATGGTCAAACAAACAAGATGGGACAGATGATAAAGAACAGAGAGAAACAGTTAAAAAATAAATAAATAAAAAGAAGAATCTAATGTGTCCTTAACAATAAAAAAAATGCATATGAGGCAATTATTTAGTGTAATATCCACAGATGTCACAGTATAGCACTATGAATAAGATTATATAACTGAGAGATATAAAATTTAGATATAAATCTTGGGTCCACCATTTATTAGCTGTATGAGTTTGTTACCTCATTAGTAAACTGAAGTTTAATAACATCTTCACATGATTATAAGGAATGAATACGAAAACAGAGATAGGTATCAAACTATTTGAGAATATAGAAAAGGCGGGAATACTCTCAAACTCATTCTATGAACCAAGTATAACCCTGACACCAAAACCAGGCAAAGACATCACTGAAAAAGAAAATTACAGACCAATATCCCTCACAAACATTGACACAAAAATTGTTAACAAAATACTAACCAATAGAATTCAACAACATATCAAAAAATAATACCTCATGACCAAGTGGGATTCATAGTGGGTATGCAAGGATGGCTCAATTAGAAAAATTATCAACGTAATCCACAACATAAATATAACAAAGGAAAAGGACCACATAATCATATTAACAGAAAAGGTATTTACAAAATCTAATATCCATTATTGATAAAAATGCCTAGCAAAATGAGAATAGAAAGGAAATTCCTCAACATAATTAAGGGCATATACACAAAACCAACGGTCAACATTATTCTCAATGGAGAGAGACTGAAAACATTCCCCTTGCAAATAAGAACCAGACAAGGATGCCCTTTATCACCAGTCCTATTCAATACTGTATTAAAAGTTCTAGCCAAAGCAATAAGTCAAGGAAAGGAGATAAAAGGCATCCAGATTGGCAAAGAGGAAGTAAATCTGTATCTATTTGCAGATAATATGATCGTATACATAGAAAATCCTAGAGCCTCAACAAGAAAACTATTGGAACTAATAGATCAACAAAGTGGCAGGGTATATAAGATCAACACACAAAAAATCAGTTGGATACCTTTACCCTAACAAAGAGAACTCTGAAAAGGAAATCAGGCATTTACAATAGCCACCCAAAAGATAAAAGTGCTTAGGAATAAATCTAACAAGGGACACAAAAGATTTATACAAAGAAAATAACAAAATACCACCACAAGAAACCAAACAAAAAGGCCTATGTAAATAAAAGAACATATCAAGTTCTTGAATACAAAGACTTAACACTGTAAAAATGTCAATACTACCCAAAGCAATCTACTGATATAATACTACAATCCCGATCCAGATTTCATTATCATTCTTTAAAGAGATAGAAAAACTGATTGCCAACCTTATACAAAAAGGAAAGAAACCTTGGATAAGCAAAGCACTATTAAAGAAGAACAAAAAAGCAGGAAGTTTCATAGTCCCTGATCTCAAAACCTACTATACAGATACAGTAGTCAAAACTGTCTGGTATTAGTACAGAACCGAGAACCCAGAAGTAAAGCTATCCACCTATAGACAGGCGATCTTTGAAAAAGGGCCAAAACTTATTAAATAGGCAAGAGACAGTCTCTTTAACAAATGACACTGGCAAAACTGCACATCCATTTGCAGAAAAATGAAACAGGATCCATATGTCACACCATATACAAAAACTAACTCAGGATGGATCAGAGATCTTAATGTAAAGCCTAAAATCAAGAAGATCTTCAGAGAAAAAATAGGGGCAAACTTAGGAGGCCCTAATATACACATGAATACAACATCAAACATAGCTAAAAACACACATATAGCTAAAAACACACACACAGTTGAAGACAAACTAGACAACTGGGGCCTCCTAAAAATTAAACATTCATGCACATCAAAAGACTTCACCAAAAGAATAAAACAAGAACCCACAGACTGGGAAAAAATATTTCGCAACAACATATCAGACAACGGACTGATTTCTAAAATTTATATAAAACTTTAACACCTCAACAACAAAAATACAAACAATCCAATTAAAAAATGAGCAGAGGACATGAACAGACACTTCACCAAAGAAGACATTCAGGCAGCTAACAAACACATGAAGAAATGTTCACGATTATTAGCCATTACAGAGATGCAAATCAAAATAACAATGAGGTATTATCTCACCCACCATTAAGAGCAAAGTTCAAAAACCAGCAAACAACAAGTGCTGGTGAGGGTATGGAGAGACTAGAACCCTCATACACTGCTGGCAGGATTGTAAAATGGTACAACCACTGTAGAAAGCAGTATGATCCAGCAATCCCACTACTAGCTATATATCCTGAAGAAATAAGAGCCATGATATACAGATAACATGTATACTCACATTTGTCTCAGCATTATTCACAACAAAAAAATGGGAACAACCTAACCGTTCATCAATGGATGGATGGATAAACAAACTATGGTACATATACACAACAGAATACTATGAAACATCAAAGAATAACAATGATTCTGCAAAATGCCTCATAACATGAATGAACCTAGAAGAGTGAAATTGTCAATCACAACAGGGCAATTACTACATGAGACCACTACTGCAAAAAGTTAAAAGGTTTATGCACAGAATCATTCTTTAAACTTTACCAGGGGAGGGAAGGAAAGGAAGAGTAAATCACTAACTAGAGGGTAGACATGCATTAACTTGGGGGAAGGGAAAGACAATACACAATATGAGGGAGTTCAGCACAAAATAATCAAGGCAGTGGAAAGAACAGTGAAGGCCACAAAAGTTAAAGGTAAAAAAGGTTACTATTACACAGTTCTGCAATAACAGTAGTAATAATCTGAATGGATATACAGATAGACACTCAAGCTGAACAGGGGTAGGAAGGTGAAAAGAAAATATAGGTAGCAGATTACAATAACACACACACACACACATACAGCTGCCTTCTTGGGACGTGTTCTCAATCTTGAGAAGATGCCAAGTAAGAATAAAAATTACATTGAATTTTAAAATAACCAGTTTAGATCATTACTCAATTGTTTTAAAAGTAGGTGAGTTGAAATTAAGTTATGAGATATAGAATTTATGTTTGCAGAAGTGAGCTAAGTATTAGGACCAGGGCCCTACTTAGGAACTCCATACAAGCTACAATATGGATGAACCTTGAAAAATGAACATGCTGTGAATAAAGTAAGTCAGGCACAGAAGGACAAACAGAATATGTCCCACTTACATGAAATATCCAGAACTGCCAAATGAATAAAACCCAAAATTTATCAGGGCTTACCAGGGGCATGTGGGAGGATAGAATGAGTTATTGCTTATGGGTTACTGAGTTTCATTTGTTGTTGCTGGGTGCCACTGAGTTGTCTCTGACTCATAGCGATTCTATGGACAGCACAATGAAACTCCGCTTGGCCCCACACCAGCTCCACCAATCCCTGCTATACTTGAGTCCATCGCAGCAGTCACTGTGTCAATCCATCTCATTCAGGGCCTTCCCCTCCTTCGTCGACCCTTCCCCTTACCAAGCATGACATCCTTCTCCAGGGAATGGTCCCTTCTGACAACATGATCAAAGTAGGTGAGACTAAGCATTCTGGCTGCACTTCCTCCAGGACAGATTTGTTAGTTCTTTTAGCAATCCATGGTACTTTCAGTATTCTTCTCCAACACCACATCTCAAAAGCATCAATTCTTCTTCAGTCTTCTTTACTCATTATCCAGCTCTCACATGTATATGGGGTGATTGAAAATATCATGGCTTGTGTCAGGCACACCTTAGTCCTCAAGGAGACATCTTTGCTCCTCAGCACTTGAAAGAGGTCCTTTACAACCAATTTGCCCAGTGCTATACATGGTCCATGTCCTGACTGCTGTCTCCATTGGCATCAACCATAGAACCAAGCAATGTGAAGTCTTTGACAATTACTATCTTTTCTCCATTCATTGTGATGTTGCTTTCAGATCCAGTTGTGAGAATTTTTGTTTTCTTTATGTTGAGATGTAATCCATACTGCAGACTGTATTCTTCAATCTTCGTCAGTAAGTGCTTCAAGTCATCCTCACTTTCAGCAAGCAAAGTTGTGTTGTCAGCATATTGCAGGTTGTTAACGAGCCTTCCTCCAATCCTGATGCCATGTTCTTCTTCATAAAGCCCAGCTTCTCAGATTATTTGCTCAGCATATAGATTGAGTCAGTATGGTGAAAGGATACAACCCTGATCACTCCCTTCTTGATTTCAAACCACGCAGTGTCCCCTTGTTCAGTTCGAACGTCAACCTCCTGGTCTATGCACA